CAGAAAATTTTTACAAGTTTTTTTTGTTTTGTTTTGTTTTGTTTTGTTTTTTAAGTAAAGGCAGAGGATTAGAAATCAGGAAGATTCTGGGACCAGCAGATGGCATAACGGTTCCATTGCTGCACTCCCACATCATGACCGTGGTTTGAGTCCTGGACCTGCGAGCTTAAACTCAAGCCGGGTTGTATGTGCATGCGTGCCCAAAATCCCAAGAGAAGAATGGAGGAGAAGGTATTGTGGCATGGCCATCCCCTGGGAGGTAATTTCTCACTTTCTGTCTCTCTGGTGAACACAAGTGCCCTATAGCAAAAATCTCTCAAAAAAAAAAAGGAAGATTCATAGAATCACATATTTTGAGCAACTATCACTAAAACATTATTATCAAGAGAACTTAAAACATACAACAAAAAATTATGTTGTTAGGATTTGATGTCAACTAACAGGCAGTAACTGATCAATTTTAGGTGCTCATGTGGATCCATCAACCCACCTGAAAAATCAGTTCCAAAATAATGTGCAAATGGCTTACTAAGCAGGACAAGTTTACGAATATGCTTCTGATGGTATAGGCCTCACATCCTGTACTATATTTAACTCCCTAATATTTACTGAGCACTGATTATGTGCCAGGCTTTACACTGTCAAACATCAACATTGTTATTTATCTCTCAAAACTCATTCACGGTAGGCCTCAACAAATGCTTATTGAATTTCATCCCATTATTTGAAGAACTGTATACATTTTACTTCATTGACTTTCTATGTCTAAACACATGATGCTCTGGATCAATTCAGAGCTGACATTCTATGAACTGAAACCTATAAACCAGGCACCCATGCAAGGGTGCGAGGAGGGGTGTGACGTAACCAAAGGCAGAAGTGGTAAGGGACAGGCAACAGGAAGTTAGAAAAGACGATTAACAAAACAACCAACAGGACCTTGCAGCTCACTGGATAGTGTACATAAAGCAAGATTTTACACATTAGGTGAAGATGTAGTTTTTGGCAATATTTACTAAATTGTTTTTTAGTTTGTTGTCTTTTATTTCCTGTTTTTGTTTGTTTCTGTTTTTTAATTGACAGAGGGCACATGTACCTAACTTGTTTAAGTGCTTAGAACCAGGCCTCCCACCAACCCCCAATCAACATTATTGACTAAACTGTAAGCTTTTCGGATCGTGTCAGTTATTTCTGTAGCCCAAACATTCGAATCAATGCCTTATACTATACACAGTGGATATAAAAATCTACTGAATGACTACGACCGTCATCTCCTTTATTTTTTTCCCTCCACTTTGTTCTTTGTTCTCTCGGTCAATCTGTTCTGTCCGAATACATGCTTGTCTCCACCCTTCTCTGCATGTCTATGCATCACTGTCCCTTGCCTTTCTTCTCCCCTCACCCTCATTTCTTCCATTTCTGGCCATAATAGAACGAATAGAAACCTGAATTTGTTTCATTTATTGAATTAGAATTGATGTCTCTGTTCTAAACTTCTTTGAGTAAGCTATTTAAAATTTCTCTTTAAATTGTTTTTTACTACGTGACCCTCAAATTACCATTTTTTAAAGTTGACTCTGCAAAGAAAAGCAGGCAGTCACTTACATGCTAACAGGAAAAGAAAGAGGTCTAACAGATTTTGTGTTGAGGGAGTATTCCAATCTGAGGATACTGTGAAAGAGGAAAAAAGCTTAACCAATCAGACTATAAGTAAATAAGTGTAAATTTTTTTTTTGGAGAGGTTTTTGCTATAGGGCACATGCGCTTGCCAGAAAGACAGAGACAGAGAGATAGAAAGTGAGAAATCACCCCCCCAGGGAGGATGGCCACACCACAATCCCTTCGCCTCCATTCTCCTCTTGGGGCCTTAGGCACACATGTACATGCACCCGGTGTGAGTTTAAGCCACTGAGTCCGGGACTCAAACCACAGTCGGCTACATGGGAGTTCAACAACATAGCCATTACGCTAACTGCTGGTCTCAGTGTAAATTTTTTTTTTTAATTTTTTTTTAGACTTTATTTATTTTAATTTGACCAGTGAGGGACAGAGCTAAAGCAAGAGAGAGAGGGAAAGTGAGAAGGCAAGCCACCAGGTCCGGGACTTGAACTGCAGTTAACCATGTGAAACTCCAGCGCCCTCAACTATCATGCTATTGCCAGCCCCAGTAAATGTAAAACATTAAAAGTTCCCCAATTTTAAGCAGATCTCTAAAAAAATTATTAAGGAAAAAAAAGTAAACATTGAAGAGCTCAACATGTATTTTTATTCCATTATCTGAATGTTCACAATGTACTTGAATATGTTACATTGGTCATCTTCTTTCAGTACTAAATACTTTAGAATCACTTATTTTGGCCTAGTGGCTAAAGGAACTGGACTCCCACATGGCCAACTGCAGTTTGAGTCCAGGACCTGGCGGCTTGCTTTCTCACTTTCTATCTCTGATCAAAATAATAAATAAACTTAAATAAAATAATTTTAAAAATAATTTTTACAAGACCAGCAGTTAGCGTAACATCTATGTTGCTGGACTCCCATGTAGTCAACCACAGTTCAAGTCCCGGACCCGGTGGCTTAAACTCATGCCAGGTGCATGTGCATACATGCCCAAGATCCCAAGAAGAGAATGGAAGAGAAGGGATTATAGCGTGGCCCTCAGGGGGTGATTTCTTTTTTTTTTTTTTTGAGAGAGATTTTCGCTATAGGGCGCGTGCGCTCGCCAGACAGACAGAGAGAGACAGAGAGACAGAAAGCAAGAAATCACCCCCTGAGGGCCACGCTATAATCCCTTCTCTTCCATTCTCTTCTTGGGATCTTGGGCATGTATGCACATGCACCTGGCATGAGTTTAAGCCACCGGGTCCGGGACGCGACCCGCGGTCGACTACGTGGGAGTCCAGCAACATAGATGTTACGCTAACTGCTGGTTCCCAGGGGGTGATTTCTTGCTTTCTGTCTCTCTGTCTCTCTCTGTCTTACTGGTGAGCGCCTGTATCCCAGAGGAAAAATCCTCTCAAAAAAAATTTAGTAAAATAAAATAAAGTCACTTATTTCTATCTTATTTTTAGATATTTAATATTTATGCTCTGCTGTATTTGTGATCAGAAGAAAATTGACCATTTTTTCCTTTTAAGTATTTTGGGTCCTTTCAATCAGTAGGAGCCTATTCTATTAATCTTGTATTAGTTTAAAAGCAGCAATTTTCTTTCAAATTCCCTTACAAGGTCGCAGAAAACATGTTTCACCTCATCTCCCAAATCACTGAGCAAAACAACAAAATTCAAGAAATCGAAGCAATACAAGAGATAACTGCCCAGAAAGTGGTGTGGAAGTTAAAGCTGCTGGGTGTCACATAGCTGGTTCTGCAGTTTGAGTTCCAGACCAGATGCTTGAAAATTGAAAAACAAGTGGGCGGCTAAGCCCATGCCCAGAATCCCCAAAGGAGAATGGAGGAGAAAGGACTGTGCAGCCATCCCCCTGGAGAGGGTGATCTCTCATTTTCCCTCTCTTTCTTTCCCTCTCTCCTGCTAGCACATTCACTATACCAAAAACTTAAAAAGATGAGATACCCTTCCTCTTAATATTTAAAGAGTTTTGGGGGCCAGCAGATGGCACTGTGGTTAAGGTACTGGACATTTCCACATGATTGACCACAGTTCAAGTCCCAGACCTGGTAGCTCGCTCACTCGCGCTCTCTCTCTCTCTCTGTGTGTGTGTGTGTGTGTGTGTGTGTGTGTGTGTGTAAATTAATGAATAAATAAAATTAAATAAATAATCCTTTAGGGACCAGTAGTTAGCGTAATGGCTATGTCGCTGGACTCGACTGCGGTAGGAGTCCTGGACTGGGTGGCTTAAACTCATGCCAGGCACGTGTGCATGCGTGCCCAAGATCCTGAGAGGAGAATGGAGAAGGGACTGCAGCGTGGCCATCCCCCCTGGGGGATGATTTCTTGCTTTCTGTCTCTCTGTCTCTCTCTGTCTCTCTGGCAAGCGCACGAGCCCTGTAGCAAAAACCTCTCCAAAAAGGACGAATAAATAAATAAATAATCCTTTAAAAATAACTAAGTGTTTCTTTCCTCTGTGATAGTATCACTTCCCCTACACAAATAGATGTTAGTTCTGATCATAAATAATAAAACCTACTTAAAAGCCGTAATTTTGTATAAAATGTCATTTTTATCAATAGAAGTCAATCAAAAGGTTCCTTTAACAAAAGTAATGATATCGAAATAACAGATTTTGAAGATACTGGAAATATAAATTTCTTTCAATTTATTGTTCAAAGAATCTACATCTCTTATTCACAAAGGAAGTGTTCATAAGGTTGTAATCAAACTTTTGCACTGAAGATTAAGGGCCATCCTCCCAATTCGGACCAGCTAGGTAGGTATCATGGTGAGCATGTCATTACCTTCATGAAAAAGAAAGCGCACCCAGGAAAAGGAGCAACAGGAACACTGCAACCCCAAAGACACCAGGCGGCTGGACTCAGAAGAGCCACAGGTAGCCACGCTCCAGTGACAAGGAGCACTGAGAGCAGATCCCCTACACAGCCGACCCCAGCCAGAAAGGCCGGCGAAGGCACCCCGCCCAGGTACCGGGTACACAAGTTCCAGTTCAGTTACAAGTAGAAAAGATCCAGATTCTGTGAAAACAGCAATAGTGAGTGCACGTTTTACACTGTGCACACCCTTCCCGGGCAAGGACGACCAATAAAAAGATGCATTAAGCCAAATCAGGAAAAAACATACCGCGTCCACCGTCACCCCTCGCCCCACGCCTGGTCTGAAGTGCAGACTTCCAGGCTGCCGTGAGACTGGTCCACGCCAGCCCGGCGAGCTACCGAGGACTCAACGCCAGCCGCCGAGCGGAGGCGCCCGGCACTCGTTCTGGGCTGGAAGACACGCGAGGACGCACCGCAGCCCTTCACCGGGGCGCGCGGGACCGAACGCACAGCGGAGGCGCGGACCAGCGGCACGGACGCGCGCACCCCTCACCTGGCAGAAGCACCTCTGCGCCGCCGTCTCCGCAGGCTGCTGCCC